AGGCACAGACACAAAAAGCCACCTCCTCCCCTCCCCGCGGGCTGTTACTCAGAGCCCAGCGTATTGTCAGACACCTTTCTGCATTTAGAAGTAGACGATGCCAGCACCTATATTTAGAGCACGTACAGCATCTCCTCCCCCGGCCCCAGCACCACTGCATCCCTGGCCCCAGCCTCCATGCGGTCCCACGCTGCCCGTCAGGCCTGGCTCCCCCAAACTCCAGCACAGGGAGCAATGCTCCAGCAGCTTCAGGTTGAAGCCACGAACTGCTCACAGATGGCTGGAAGGGGACAGGCGATGCCCAGAAGGGGACAGGAGATGCCCATGCCACCAGCCAGCACCAGGGACCTTCCCCACAGCTTCATGGGGCACGGCTTGCCCCCAGGCACCAAGATAGGGGATGCAGGACCTGAGCCAGAGCAATGGAGAGGGCTTCCTGGGGAATTTTTGGATCCTTTGGCAGGTGGAAGTGGCTGGGCAGGAAGCACAGGGCGAGCAGAGACAGCAGAGGGGCCACCCACCAGCAGTAGGGGCAGTAGGAGGCTTTGGCCCCATAAGCAAAACCGCTCCTTGGGTGCACAGAGGGCAGCTTGACCATTAGAAAGAGGGGCTTTGGTCCATGACTGAGCCCAGGAGTGGGCAGCCTTCAGAGCTGGTGGGATTTGCTTCTCACAAAGCAGAGCTCCTCTGGGGGACCTCACAAAGTGATCGGGGCAGGGGCTGTTCTGCACATGCAGCAGCGGGGCAGTTTGTGCCCATAGCATCTTTTGGTCAGGAGAAGACATGGGTTACGCAGGACCAAAGCAAAGCCTGGCCAGAGCTGTGGCTCGGCCAGCCAGAGGGACTGGAGAACAGCCCCAAGGACCCGGACCACAACAACCCACAGCAGAGCAAAGCCATAGGCAGGAGGAAGGGCAGGATGAGGGCTGTGCTGCCTCCCCCCACCCTGCCCAGCAGGCTGAAGGCCACGCCCCGTCTCCACACGCATGGCCATGCCTGGTCCAACCACACTGACCAGACCCCCAGCCCACGGAGCAAGACCTTCCCTGAGGCTCCAAAGGCACAGCACCCTCCAGCTCCCCAGGACCACGCTCGGGCTGATGACGGACGCAACTCACAGCAGAAACACGCTGCTGGTGATCACCAGGGTGAGCCACCCATCACCACAAGGCCACCAGCATCTCCCCGGGCTGGCAGGCAAAGCATTGCCCCCGCAGCTGAGGGTGCGCGCGGATCGTTAGTGCTGACAGCACATAATTACCAGATTAATTAATGACCAGTGCTGGACGGTGGCCCTATACTGCATTTTCAGTATTTGCAGGAGGCGCAAACCACCCTGCTCACCCCCCGGACCACGCTCCTCTCCCAAAGCCCTGCCGGCCAGCTCTCAGACACCCACCTGCCCCCGCACCGGGGCCATGGGGTTTGCAAACCCAGCCACCCCCATGGCAGCCCCGCTCCGAAGGTGGTGCCAGGCCCCGGGAGCGGGCAGGGGCCATGGATGCAGGGGAAACTGAGGCAGGGGAGGTGCTGAAGCCGGGCTTCCTCTGCCTGGAGGACAGATCTTAGGGTACCATCACACATGCACAACATCTTCTCTCCCCTGTGGACACGGGAATCTTCTTTTCCTGGGAAAACACAGCAAAGAGGCCTCTGAGAGGTTTGCCATCACCCCCTCGGCACCACTGGCGCCAAGCAAGCCGTACCCCCAAGGGACAGCCCTGTCCTCGTCCCTTCGGCATCCCACTGCTGCAGGCACCACACGGCACAGCCGGCAGCTGAGCTGCCCAAAGACCCCTCGCCATGGCCACCTCTAACGAAGAAAATGCAATTCCCACCACTGGAAACATCTGGGACGGGGCGAGGGGAGCGGGGTGATGTTCCCAATGCTCTGCTACAGCGACGGGTGTGCAGCAGCTCCTGGGGAGGCTTGGTCCTGCCCCTGCCAAATGGGGTGCAGGCAGTAAAAATCCCAAGGGGCTCCCCAGCATTGTCAGATGACTAAAACAAATCCATGTATGTGTATATCTTTATATATACAGCATATAAATATATATACACACACATACCGTATATACACACACAGGCACACCTAGAGTTCTCCGTATATAAACAAACATATGTCGGTGGGAGACAGGATACATTTGGCAGCACTGAGCCCCCCCACCCTGCTCCCACCTGCCCCAGTACAAACCAGTTGGCTTCCGTTTTGCCCCCCCCCA